GCTATGAAGGTCGACATGACTACGTGGCATATGAGACGGAAGCGCGGACATGTAGTTTTCCCACGCAGATGCTGAGCTGCTGATGTGTACTATGCAGGCATAAACATTCCCAGCAGTCGAGCGCGTCGCTAAAACATCACCGAGGGCATCTGTTGTCGGCATAGGCAGTACACCTGCGCTGTACGTATAGCCAAGGTTAGAATGAATAGTCCATTATAGAAACTTTTCTATTAATGACTCTTATTAGAATACATGCGGGATTTGCAATGCAGACTGGCCCACAGGTTAACGCAGCGTCCAAGGAAGTTATTATCAGGAGTGAATAATAATAGATCTATTATTATTCACTCCTGTTATTATGTATCGCAGTGTGTTGTGTACGCGATGGATCAACAATGGAAACACACAAAACACACATGGTGGATGAATCGAGTTTTTGTGCGAAACAATTTAGTAGTTGGGAGCACCGGAGCAGATGAGGAATTGTTGGGCATAAGTAAGTGTGTGCATCGTGACTCGTGAGGGTGGTGGAGTGTTGGGCAGATGTGACGTGGGCGGGGTGGGGTGGGGGTGGCCCCGGGTGGGGCAGGTGGAGGGTTCTCAAATATTTGGTATCTTCAGTTCTGGAGGCGTGACGTTTGCTGTGCGTGCGTAAGTAGTGACTGAACATTACTGTTAGTCTGCACTCCATTTAACTCTAAGGCCGACCAAAAAATTACCTTTGGTTCGGGTCACCCGCCCGACTTTTTCTTTCTTTTTTAATTTGCATCTCGTGGCTCCTGCATTTCAAGCTGTATGCCTTCAAGCTGTATCAAGCTGTATATTTAACTTGTGAAAAAAAAGTTATACCTACCTACCTACCCTAATTTTCACAATCCATGTGACCCGAACCAAAGGTATTTTTTTGTTTGGCCTAAGAAGTTGACGCCGCTAGTGCAAGGTGTTTATGACTGCTTGCTGGTGCGAGTAAAGGTGAATAAAGGAGAATATTCTGTAGGTGGCCAGTCGACATTGCCTCCCCCGCTGTACGGACGTACCCTCCGCTCATTACCGCCATTACTTATTAAAAATCCACGGTGATTCAACATCATTAACGGATGCTGCTGCGGGTGGTAATGATGAGACAGCGCACGTGATCCGCGCATGCGCGCGTGCGTGTGCGTGCGTGTGCGTAACGCGCCCAGCTAACCACCCCGCGTATAAATTTTTTAACGTATTTAGGGCCGAGCTCGTGTGTCCCCCATCAGGCTGTGGTAGTAATTTATAATTATAGCCTGCACTATAGACTGCCTCCGTAAGGCGGCGAAAATCCCCCGTAAGTCGGCGTGGGCTCTTATATTTAAGCTCAGCCGGGACGACTCGCGGGTTCAGTCTTCACGCGACCGCCAACAGTAGCAGCAGCACAGCAGTAGCAGCAGCACCACCACCACCACCACCACCAGCAGTAGCAGCACCAGCACCACCACCACCACCACCACCACCAACACCAGCAGCAGCAGCAGCAGCAGCAGCACCACCACCAGCACCAGCAGCAGCAGCAGCATCCGTTGGAAAGCCAGAGACCCGCGTCTATTTTCGCGCGCGTGGTGACGACCATCCCGGGGACGAAAATATCCCGCGCGCGTGTGTTTTCTGAGGCGATTTTTGTGCGCTGGCATTTTGCTGAAAGGGAGACGGTCCGGGAAGATGATAGAGAGAGAGAGAGGGGGAGACGCTTGGCGCTGTGCCATATGTTCGGGACGGTATGGAGCGTGGAGGGGGGGGGGTCGTGTGAAGAGAGTGTTAATCGTGCCCACCAGTGCACTCGTTCACGGTGACTAACGCTGTCGCTGAGTGACGAATGCATACACGCTATGAGGTTGAAACATTTGGGCCGCATTAATATTACATTACTTCTCTTATTAAGATGTCCCTACGTGATGGTAGGGTTGATGTGATGGGAGAGCATTCGCCCATATGTGTATGCGCGCGTGCGTGCGTTCGTGCATGCGTGCGTTCGTTCGTGCTCGCGTGCGGGCGTGCATATCAGTCGCCTTGTTGGTAGTAGCGGTCGGGTGGTGGTAGTTTAGAACAGGGTCCGAGTTGTCACGATGTCTATTAACTATAAATTTACAAGTGCTCGGCGATGTTAAATGGTTGTTAAAAAGAGCAGTCTAAGACTCCAGCTCTTTACCCCCGGGGGAGGCGGTCGGTCTCCTCTCGCTACTCCGGAGGCGATTCTGTCTAATTGAACATCGTAAAGCCGTGTGGCGCGTCCTTTTATAGCTCGATTGTCAAATGAAATATGACGTGAAAATGCTATAGATCGATATCGCCTCGGCGATGAGCGATGGAAGCCATGCCAGTATGATGCGAGGGAAGCCGTGCTGTTACGGCGCGTCTACTGCCGTAGCGACGAGCGGGAGATTCGTCCGTGGTTCCGGCGGCTTCACAGAGGCATCAATGACGCATCAATTGTTTGCTTGTTAGTGAATCAAGCCGAATCCCTAGTCCTCCTCCTCCTCTTCTCTCTTCGATTGATGCCTGATCTGGATCGGATGCTGCTGCTGCTGCTACTACTACTGCTGCTGCTGCTGCTGCTGTGTGTGAGTGCACGCGGGGGGACTTGAGGGAGATGGAATGCACGGAAATGTATGATCAGTAACGGACGAGAGGCACGCATGATCATGACTCATGCGGGTTTGATATTTGGAAGGCGGGTGGGGATTGTATGCATTGCAGTGAAGCGCTGTTGGGGAGGATGGTGTGCAGGGAATAAGGGGAGGGATGAGTGATTGGTGCGTGCATGGCGGAGAGAGGGGCGGGCCGACCCACTCTATATGGGGTGAGGTGTGTATTAGTGTGGTAATTGTGTTACATATAACGGTGCTAGCGGACAACAAAGCGCTCGTTTTCTAGTAAGGCAACGTATCTGCGTGTGTGCGTGCGTTTGTGAAGTATGCGTACGCGTTGG